CTAATATTTTCTTGTGTGTGTTTAGGGGGAGTGAAGGAAGCCTTAGAAATGCAAATACAAATGCAGTATACAGTGATTGTCAAACACCCTGGAGCTAATATTTTCTTGTATAGCAGGAAGTGTTCCTGACCCTTTTCCTTGGAACTGAAAACCTTTGCAGTGAGATTTAGTATGGGATAATGATGTTTGACTCAAAAGAGAAACCCTCGAATCATTAGGAACTTGATTTTGATTCTTAGGTATTACAGAAGTGATTTTAAGAATTAAACTATTCCAATGGGTCAAAACAAAAGCAAAATTTGGTATTATATCACAGTTTATAAACACCCAACCAGAAATTTAGATTACTGAAATCAGAGATACATAATGTGTATCAGCCTGTTGGATCAGGGTGACTTGCTGCCTGCATGTGGCTCAAAATCTGGGTATTAGGTTTACTTAAGTGGCAACTATCCTGGGTATGTAGGCCAGGCCCACAAGAACACTCATGCGCAGTGTCAGGACTCCTTAACCTCCCTATTGCAATGTTATTAGCTCTTCCTCAGCATTAGTGTTCCCCCCCCCTTTTCCAAGTTCTATATTTGTCATTTGATATACTGTTTTAAGAAATAAATTGGCTGTTCTCCTTGCACAATCTCCATATCATTTCTCTAGATAGTCTACAACTCTGTGCAGCAACAACAGCAATAAGTAACCTTTTATTGTTTGTATAATTTTTAAATATTTTTGTATGACTCAATTTTCTGTGACACCTTGCACCAGGAATAGGATTCTGGGCACAGAAATATTCCTTTCTGGAACCAGCACTCTCCCAGCCATGGTTCACAAACGGTACTTGTCAAATTTCTCAGGTACTGGCTCAGGATTGTCTCCACTGTTACCAGATGTTACTATTCTTTGATGAGTAGATGATGGATGGGTCATCCATCATGGTCTTCCAGCTAACTGCAGTGCAAGTGATTGTGTGTGTGTGCATGGGTGTGATTTTGTGCACATGTGTGTGAGTGTGTGTATTTGAGTGAGTGAATGCATGTGTGTGAGTGTGTGCATGTGTGTGATTATGTGTACACGTGTGTGAGTGTGTGCATGTGTGAGTGCATGCATTGTGTGCATGTGTGTGAATGCATTCATGTGACTGAGTGCGTGCATGTGTGTGAATGCGTTCATGTGACTGAGTGCGTGCATGTGTGTGAGTGCTTGCATAAGTGGGATTGTGTGCACACGTGTGTGAGTGTGTGCATGTAAATGAGTGCTTGCATGTGTGTGAGTGCATGTGTGTGCGAGAGGGTGCAAGTGAGTGCATGTGTGAGAGTGTGTGCTTGTGAATGAGTGTGTATATGTGTGAGTGCATGCATGTGTATAAGTGTGTGTGTGTGTGTGTGTGTGTGTGTGTGTGTGTGTGTGTGTGTGTGTGTGTGTGTGTGTGTGTGTGTGTGTGTGTGTGTGTGTGTGTGTGTGTGTGTATGTACTCATGCACACATGCATGTGTGTGTGCTCACGTGTGTGTGCATCTGTGCGTGTATTTAGTAGGGTAGCAAGTACACAGGTTTAAGTAAAATTGCACAAGCAGAGAGTAAGAACACATTTCATTGGTGCAGAATGTTTAATGTGTCTTAACTTATATGATGCTGTGTTCTACATTGTTTCTCAGGGGATGTTTGGAGAGTGTTGCAACATTAAGTCGCACCAGCAGCAGTGAATCTCTTGATGACAGAAGTATCCATTTTGTATGTAATTTGATTGTGCTGCCAAGTATGAAAGATAGTTATGATCTCGGTTAAAAGATAAAAAGGACAGCTTGATTATAAACTTTTGCTAAAAAAAATATTGGCTTGTTTGTTTTTACTTCCCTAGTAAATTTGATACAGTTAGAGTCTTAGTTGTATTTTAAAGTTAAGTATGCAACACAGTTCCTTTTATAATAATTACTATTAGAACTGGTAGAGTGATATGAACTTTGAGTAGTATCTTAGCTGAAAATATGGTATCTTGACCTGCAGAGAGGCTTGTTTTAGATAATATACATAGCTGAGAAGGTGAATTACCAAGCCTCTGAAAATTACACTACAGTTACAGCATTCCACATTTATCCATGGATGGGATGGAAATTAAGACTTTTGGCAACTTGGTGGCTAGCCTCAGTGATTACTTGGTTAACATGCACGGAATGCCACTTGCTCTGTATAAACGTTGAATTAATTATGATTATATGGCCCCGGAATCTCTTCTTGAATTTTAGATTTTAAAGAATTTGTCATATGGATAAAAACTACAGGAAGAAATGGCAAAGTCAGTGTTTGAATTGAGGTGAATCATATTATATGGCCTTTTAGATAATATTAATATTAAAGCAGACTTAATGGCCATTACAAGGCAACTAACAATGTACTTAATTTGGAAATGTGTGAAATTTATCTTTTTTTGCATCAATAACAGGTACATTGTAGGAGAAGTTCCTTCCATATATATATATATACATATTCCTTTGCACTGTAAAGTAGCATTTATAAGGCACATTATGAAGGTGGATACATGATATGTGGTTTACTTCTCTGGCTAAATTTGTTTGAGTGATCTTAATATGCATTGAAGTAGACACAACAGTTCTTTCACTTTTACTCTGACCAGATCAACAGTTCTGGACCCAGTGCCCTGGGGCCAAGAGACCAGACCAGCAGAAAGGTTAGATATTTGCCGTCACTGATAGTCATACAGTACAAGTCTCCCTCCCTGGGGGTTAGTTTCCAATTTGCAGAAACAATACACATTAATAAACTTCAAGTGTATATGCACATTTTATAAAAGGTCAAAAAGATCCTTGCCTCTCACCATTTCTTCAGGGGGTATAACATGCTTGTGAGAAATGAATTCCCCATTGACCATTGACACTACAGAAGAAAACTTCATCACTTGCTGCATTTTAGTTTAACCTGTATTATAAATGCTACAAAAGTTGTTAGAATAGCATGCCTGAAAGGATTCTCCCAAAGGATCTTTTGATCACCTTCGTCTATTAGTTTTTGTGACATGCAGTAGGGTTAAGTTAGTTGCATAAAGAGAGAGCAAAGTGCTCCCTTTCCCAAAATGTGTCAAGAGCTTAAGGTTAAGGTAGATTAAGGTAGAAAAATCTACAGATTAATAGGTGCATCAGTTGGCTGTCAACAGAGGCAGTGTCAGGGATGGTAGAAATGAAATTTGTATTCTAAAATAAAACCTAAAAAGGACAAAACAAACTTACTAATACTTCTGTGAAAGTACAATAAGAAATATGGGATCAATATAAGATATTTCTATGGTACAAAATGGTTTTGAATCCTTAAAGATTTCATCCAATATATATGGCAATAAATTGAGGCAAGAGAGGGAGACCTGTACTGTTTCATAATGGTAAAGTAAAATGAATCCTAAAAATGTGTTTAACATACATTGTTTTTTTTTTCTTCACTGCAGATTTACTTTACCAAGTTAATTGTCTGCATTTTTGTGACCTGATATGGAGTTTGAAGCTTGGTGGATAGAAATTTATAAGGGAGCTGGTTTGAGGAGGCCAGTAAATGGGTAGTGTTATATATACACATGTAAATAATGATATTATATGCTGTGGGTTTATTTATTTTTCTTTGGAAGTCCAATTATATATTCATGATATAGTGTTTCATATTATTCTTATGGCACAATGTCAGTAAACAGATCATGAACATAATATTTTCTTGTACTTACTGTAGATATAAAAGCAAGGTACCATCAGATACACAAATTTGGTACTTTAGCTTGTAATGAAGGCTTGGTATAAGATTAGCTCAGATTAGCTGATCACATCAAGCACATGTTCTATGCCATGTGTATGTTAGACTGATAATGATTAAGCTTGTGTGTAATAATATACTGTACTTGTTTTGGGGGAGCTTATCACAAGGAACACAAAATTTTAGACTTGTTTAATGGTTGTTTACAGTAATGTATAAGACAACTAAATAGTTTAGTTTCCTATGTCTAGTGGTACTATGCTTTGCTTTCACCAACAGTCCTCAGCGCCCACCAGCCAACACCAGTAAAGTGGAGAGTGAAGAAGCCAGTAGTCCCAAAGCTGCTAAGGTTAGTGTGCCTACTGTAAACTGCTTAGATACTTTGGGATGCTTAATGCAGTTATAAATTTACAGTATCAGATTTGCCACTCTGTTGTGTATGTTTATCATAGGATATAATGTATATATATCTGTATTTAGTGGTACTTTGTATGTTGGATTCGGTATGGTTTATGACTGGAAAATCCTTGATTAAAATATCAAAGTAATAGATCGAAAAGGAAAATAGGGAATTGTTTTTTACCTTTTTATTTCATTTTACCTTTTATGTTAATGATATTGTCATTCACTCTATTATTTTTGTTAAAGAGTCTTGCTGTGAAAATACTTGCGAAAAATATTTAAAGCAAGCAAGGATGAAGTGTCCAGCAACACATTTTAAACCTTCTTAACGATGCACTTTTTATTCATTAGCTTTTTTTTAAAGATTATAGTATAATTCAAAAGAGTAATCTCTATGTACTTTAACTTCATGTTATGCAGACACCTGGCAAAAAGAGTGAGGAAGAGCTCAAGGAAGAAGAAGAACTTCAGCTGGCTCTAGCACTGTCGAAGTCTGAGGCCGAGAATAAAGAGAAGGAGGTAAGTGGCTATGACACTCCAAACTATGTCGTCTGAGAGAGCTGAACACATCCATATCCACAGAGCCTGGGTTTTTCTCCCATATTTTTGTTTTCATGTTACTTAGTCAATGAAACTATGGAACCTTTTCTATTTCAAGTGGTATTTATGTCCATGTTTTGTGTTGAAAAAGTAGTGAAAATTTTCATGCAAAGCATGTTAGAATATGTTTTAACCACTTGCCACTGGGGATGGCTTGTGCATGCATGCCATGCCCGCTGTGTGTTTAATTTAGTAATTGTTTTTACATATAGATCGCTCCACAAGTACTGTCACCAATGAGCCAATTACGAGAACTACCTGTCTCACCTGTTTACCCTTTTCTTTGATTTTCGATAATATTTTCTGGTATTTAATACAGCTGTTAGTAATATCAATAACAATATAGTAATGATAATGTTTATAACAAAAATAAGTGCCAAGATTGATAGTAGCAGTAAAAAAAGTTTTCCTGCTAGTTCAAAGAAAGGTGAGGTCACAAGATCTACTAATTGACTCCTTTGTGGATAAGCACTAGCAGAGCCATCTATGTTCAAAAACATTTAGCAAAATACTAAAATGAAAGCAAAACAATACAAAAGTGAATGCAGTGTTATCTTGTTGGCATTAAGCTATCAGAAACATAGGAGCAGCATTTTTTTCACAGTCAGAATTTCTCTCCCCCATCCTCTTACTCTCTCTCTCTCTCTCTCTCTCTCTCTCTCTCTCTCTCTCTCTCTCTCTCTCTCTCTCTCTCTCTCTCTCTCTCTCTCTCTCTCTCTCTCTCTCTCTCTCTCTCTCTCTCTCTCTCTCTCTCTCACTCTCACTCTCTCACTCTCACTCTCACTCTCTCACTCTCTCACTCTCACTCTCTCACTCTCTCACTTCTCTCTCACTCACTCTCTCCCTCTCTCACTCTCTCCCTCTCTCTCTCTCTACTCTCTCTTCTCTTCTCTCTCTCTCTCTCTCTCTCTCTCTCTCTCTCTTCTCTCTCTCTCTCTCCTCTCCTCTCTCTCTCTCTCTCTCTCTCTCTCTCTCTCGCCTCTCTCTCTCTCTCTCTCTCTCTCTCTCTCTCTCTCCTCTCTCTCCTCTCCTCTCTCTCTCTCTCTCTCTCTCTCTCTCTCCTCTCTCTTCTCTCTCTCCTCCTTTCTCTCTCTCTCTCTCTCTTTCTCTCTCTCTCTCCTCCTCTCTCTCTCCATTCCCTCTCTCTCATCTCTCTCTCTCTCTCTCTTCACTCCTTCCTGCGGTATCTCTCTCTTCTTCATCTACTCATCTCCTATCTCTCTCCTCTCATCTCTCTCACTCTCTCTCTCTCACTCACTCTCTCTCTCTTTCTCTCGTCTCGTCTTCTTTCCATCTCTCGTCTCTACCTGCTATTCTTCTATACTCAGCTCTCGATCTCTCTCTCTCTCTCTCTAGCGCTCTCTCTCACTCTACTCTCTCTCCTCTCTCTACTCACTCTCTCATCTACTTCTTCTTCTCTCTCTCTCTCTTCTCTCTGTTCCTCTCTCTCTCTCTCTCTCTTCTCTCCTCTCTCTTCTCTCTCTCTCTCTCTCTCTCCTCCTTTTCTCTCTCCTCTCTCCTCTCTCCCCCTCTCCTTCCCTCCCTCCCCTCCCTCTCTCTCTCTCTCTCTCTCTCTCTCTCTCTCTCTCTCTCTCCTCATCTCCCCCTCTTCTCCCTTCTCTTCTCCCTTTCTCTCTCTCTCTTCTCTTTTCTCTCTCCCTCTCTCTCTCTCTACTCTCTCTCTCTCTCTCTCTCTCTATCCCCTCACTCCCCTCTTTCTGTATCTCTATCTCTCTCCTCTTTTCTCTCTTTCCTCTCTCTGAGGTGTGTTTGTTGTAGCATGGCTTGGCTGTCTCATGCTTGTGCAGTTGTGGGCAAAGGGAGCCAAGGGCGCGCCAAGCGGGTAACGCACCGTGGGTCATGGTCAGGCCGTCACCCCTGATCAAGTGTCCTCTAGCATTGAAGACGCCGTTGAAGTCCCTAACGTTGGGGATGTGGGTAGCTAACCCTCGTTCCTCAGATCACTCGGCATACGCTATTAACAAGTCGTCTTGACGGGCTTGGTGCTGAAGGGCATACCTGCCATCTTGACGGTCCAAGGTTTTTTTCGGTTGTCATCGTGGATGATTTAAAGGAAGATTTGACACCCCACGACGAACAACACGACGATTGGCTTGGTTGTAACTGCTTGCGGTGCAGTTACGCAATACCTGTCTTCTGGCTAGTGCCTTTAATTACAGCCTTGATGTGCAGTAATTAAAAGCACGACGCACAGTTGGGCCAAAGGGTGTGGGGGGGGGGGGAAAAAAAA